GCCCAAGCTGGAAGTGCAGTGGCGTGATCTTGGCTGCCTGCAACCTCTGCCTCCCAGGTTCAAGTGGCTCCCTGCCTCAGCCTCCCGAGTAACTGGGATTACAGGCGTCCACCACCACCCCTGGTTAATTTTTGTATTTTTAGTAGAGATGGGGTTTCACCATCTTGGCCAGGCTGGTTTTGAACTCCTGACCGTGTGATCCAACTGCCACAGCCTCCCAAAGTGCTAGATTACAGGTGTGAGTCACCGTGCTTAGCAAAAAAAAAAATTTTGTTTTTAGAGACAAAATCTCACTATATTACCCAGGCTGGTCTTGAATGCCTGACTTCTAGCCATCTTCCTACAAAGAAGTCACAGTGCGATGGGATTATAGGCATGAGCCCCTGTACCATGCTTAAGTCCTCATCTGAATTTTCTGTCCTCATCCTTTTCTCTCAGCAGCATGTTTCACAGCTGATCACTATTTTTTTCTCAGCTTTGAAGACAGTGTTCATACTTTTTTTATACTTCAGTTTTTCTGTGGAAAGTGTTCATATTTTTAAAAATCTTTTTAAAATTTTTCTCATTACTTTCATGTCTTACCAGTTTCCTCTGCTGGTGTCTCCTGAAGTGTTTTCTCTGAATATGGAAATGCCAACCAATTTAGTCCTTAAATCTGGTCTCTCTGTCCACAGCCTCTGATTTTCCTTCTGAGGTCATCTTACGGCTTTACATACCACCAACATGTCTCTCTACCCACCCCTCTCCCCTGAATTCCAGAGTCCTGTGTCTAGTTGTGTTCTTGACATCTTCAGGGACATCCACAGGCATCTGCACCTCCATGTGTCCAAAAGAGACTTTCTGAACTCCCCAAAAACCTTCTCCTCCAGTCCAGCACATCTCAGATGAGGGACACCTTGTGCTTTCTGGGGATTAACTAACCCTGTCAGAATGTGCTTAAAATACAGGAGATACTACTTGTGTTTTAATTTATAATACAAAGAATAAATGACACATTTACATAAAATGACCGAGGAAATAGATTGTTTCAAAATTTCTTTTGATGTGTGAGAGAAAAATATTTGAGGAGCTCAGCCCTGCCTGATCTGCTTCCCCAAGGAGCTCCCTGATCTCCTCTCCTGCCTCTGTTCTTCCCGCTCCCTCTACTGCAACTGCACAGCCCCCTTTCCTTTTCCGTGAGTGTTTCAATGGCGTGATCTTGGCTCACTGCAACCTCTGCCTCCTGGATTCAAGTGATTTTCCTGCGTCAGCCTCCCAAATAGCTGATACGACACGTACGTGTCACCACACCCAGTAAATTTTTGTATTTTTAGGAGCGATGAGGTTTCACCATGTTGGCCAGACTGGTCTTGAATTCCCGACCTCGTGATCTGCCCGCCGCAGCCTCCCAAAGTGGTAGGATTACAGCCGTGAGCCACCGCGCCTGGCTGCGTTTTGTATTTTTAAAATAAGTGGTTGATTAAAGCATGATTTTAGGAATCACATGGTTTATTACCACATGAACAACTTTTTTGTTTTTAGGTTCACAATTTTAAAGCAGGGAAGAATAAAGTGAAACAATCTCAGAGGGAATCCACTCAACAGAGGAGGTACCTTAACCTCATAGTGGAGTGATTTCCGCAATTGTTAACATCTGTTTGCTCAGTTAGGCTGAATCAGGCCTATGAAGAAAGTCAAAGTTGGAGGAGTACCTCAGAGGGAGGTCTTTCCTTTGTGTGTGGCTGTGGCACAGGAAGGAAGTATGTTGATTCTAAGCCCTAAACAGCATATTTTTGACATTCAGGATTCAGTTCCAAAGAGACATATGTGAGGAAGCAACTCGGAAGAGGAAAGAACAGAAGTCAGGAATGGCCCTTAGTCAGGTAAGGTAATAGTCTCAGTGGATTGTTCTGTCTCTGTTTCTTCCTGAAATACCTGGCGTTGGAGTTGCTAATCTCTGACTCTGAAGCATCCTGCCTGTCTGGTTTCCTTGCACTTACCCATGGCTACTTCTAGTCCCTTCATTTCCACCTGAGATTCTAGTTCGCTATGACCCAGTGACATGAGCTTGGGAAGAGGCTGCACTGGGCCTGGTCCTGGGCAGGGCTAACCCCAGACATGGATGGAGACGGGGTGTGGGTCCCATGGTTTCAGGGCTGTTGGGCAGCAGTGATTGTTCAGGGGTCACATCTGGATGCACTGTCAGTGTTCTGTGGACTAGAATTAGAGAAG